ATATATACACATACACACACATGTAATAGTATATATATATATTATATATAATATATATATATATATATATATGTACCCGCGATTATCAAGTCTGGGCCGTGGTGGGATGAACATACCGCGTGGCCCATCTGTGGCCGTATTCGGGCGAAACAAAAACCGTCTGCGACAACACATAACAAGGGACAACCCCGTGCCCGAGGCGAAGACTTGAAACCCGCGACCTTTCGGACCGAAGCAGTGAAACAGAAGAGGCTCTTACCTCCGACATCCAGTTCGGCAATAATGAAATTTGTAAATTACGAAATAAATTAGTATTCGAAAGGCGCACAAGTTCAACATAGCTTTGGTATACGTACATGTGGGGGGAATGAAGTCCGAAAGTAAATGTACATTTGTTGACTTGACGAGCGTTGACAGAGGGCGCCATATTGCGTTGGGAACGCCCCTGTGTGTCAGTGTTTAGGGTCGCTGGAAGGAAGCTGACAAGCGAAGTAATGGAGAGCGGCTGGGCCGGAGAGCGCTCTATTATAACGGTTAATCGGGCGTAGCCTGCCCCGCCCCCCCGACCCCGCCCGCCCAGCCCGGTCGCGCCGGCCCCAGGCCCCCGCCCCGCGCGTGCCGCACCTGTCCAGCGACTTTCGCCCTGCCCCCGTCTCTTCTCCGCGCCTTGTGTTCCACCTCTCTTCTGGGCCCCGGTTAGCGGCCTTCGCGAAGATTTAGGGCTGGGCTTGGGCCGGGCTCGACCGCGCCGCGCCGCCGCGCCGCGGCCGCGCCGAAGGAACAAAGCGGAAGCTTGGTTGTACTGGGGGCTTCTTGCAAGCGGCGGTTCAGCGGGTCGGGCTGGAGGGCGAAGGGAGTGAGGTTTTGGGCCGCGGGAACGGAATAGGGGCCAAGTGGACAGTGATTCCTCTGGAGTTGACTTAACCTGATTAGATTTTCCCTATTGCGGTTTACCAATGCCCGCTCTTTTTTTTTTTTTTTGGTTTTTATGATGTATGTTTTTATTTGGATAATTATGTATTGCAAGTAATCTTGTTTCTAGGGCTTTTTATCCTGCCGACCGCCGGTGATCGTTTACGTCTTGATTGGACTCATATTCGACCAAACACTAGGCACCAACACACTTGCGGGCCCCTCTGATCTGGGGTCAGCAGAAAGCGGGACCGTCTGCGACAACACATACAAGGGACAACCCCGTGCCCGAGGCGAGACTTGAACCCGCGACCTTTCGGACCGAAGCAGTGAAACGGAAGAGGCTCTTACCTCCGACATCCAGTTCGGCAATAATGAAATTTGTAAATTACGAAATAAATTAGTATTCGAAAGGCGCACAAGTTCAACATAGCGTTGGTATACGGTACATGTGAGGGGA